AGGACAGAAGGTTGCCTGCTGCTGCTGCTGCTATAAGCCAGAAGTACTGGAAAACCACTTTTGAAATCCAGCTTCCTTTTCAGCGTTCCAGCGCCCCATTTTTTAGACTTCCTAGTGTACTTAATGGTGTTGGAATTTCTACCAGGAAGCGCAAAGACCAAGTGCGTCTTACCCTTTCTAAATGCATTCAAGAATGGGTCAAGAGTTGTACCTGGGAAGGAGCATTCTGCAACTGGGAAACCCTCCCTCACCTGTCCTGGGGCAAGAATGGCAGCTTGGCAAAACCGGCGGGTGGGACAAGAAGCAAGTATTGAAGGCATGATGCCACCCCAGGATTACCTTTATGAGAAGAGAGAGTTGAGAGGTCAGGGAAGAGATGGTGTGCAAAAAGAACCCATATTGGGCTACTTGATTTACATATTTATTTATATCCTGCCTTTTTCCTTCCAAGGAACTCAAGGCACTTTGCACAATTCAAATCAAGAGCAAGTCAGGTTAATTTACTTGGTCTAAGACTCTTACACAGAATTGCTTTCATAAATGCACAATGAACATTTGAAGGAGACGGGAAGCAAATGGATCATTTGCATACTTTGACCACTCATGTGAATTCAAGAAGCCAGTGGAGAGTATGATTCTTAATGCTTCACTAGGGAGTGGGTAGGCTTGCTCACAAAGGGCAGAAGTAAGACAGAACTGGAACAGTGCATGCCATGACTTCCCTCCTCCTGTTTTTCACTGAATGCTCCAGTTAGGATCTGCTCAGCTTGCAAAAATGACTAATTACAGCAACACACACACATTTTAGATTTTCTTGGAACAAGTAAGACACAAAGGCTTGTTCTTCCTTGGTTTAGGAATGGGTGAAAAAAGTGGTTTTTGTTTATAAAAGCTTACCAAAATGTACGTATTTTCTTAAACAAGAGGGAAATAATTTAAGACATTTAAACGCAAAAGCAGTTGAAACTGACAGATTTGTTCATCCAGGTAGCATGCTTAGGTCTTAAAAGTTCAGTCTGAATGCCTATGCAGTAAACCATATTTATGGGATGGAATTAGGGTAACTGCCTCTTTTTTATTGTGCGCTCCTCAACTTTAATAGCTGCATTGGCAGGCCGATACAATACGGTCAGTTCCTTACTGCGAATAATTGTATCTACTGAATTTGGGTGAACATTTTTTCAGTTTGAATTTTTTGTATGAGCTTACCAAATTTGCAGATTTCTTCACTAATGGGACAGAAAATAACTTGAAACTCAGAGATAAAGCAAAACTGGCAGATGTGTCTATCCCTACTTTGGATGTATTCATGATTTAGAAGCAGCACTTTCAAGAGCATTCTAGTATTAACACTTCGTAATAAAAAAGATCAACACAGGTCGAAAGGCTTAATCCAGCCCTCCCCAGCTTGGTGCCCTCCAGATGTTTTGATCTTCAACTTCAAGCAGTGTGGTTGAAAACATCTGGGGAGCACCAGTTGAAGAAGGCAGGGTAGTCTGTGCTACATGTATGCATGCTGGGGGGTTTCTATTCAGTGAGCAGAATCAGTGATTTTGCAGGGGAAAGGAAACAGCCATGTGCTTTGACAGCTGGGCTGGCATTGTCCACTGGCCCCCACTGTCATGCTCACACGCTGAAGGATAAGGCCAAGGCCAGGCTTCACGAGCTGCACAAGTGGCATGCCACATTAGACGCTGCGTGTGGGAGGCAGTGATGGATATATTAGTGCTGCTGTCAGGGGCAGCTCTCCACCGTCTCTGGTTAAATAAAGCAGGGACACAGGAAGCGAGCTGATCCCTGCGCCATCTCAGCACACCCACACCCCCAGGACAGGCTGCTTATCAGCCAGGCCAGCGCACTTCCCTGCAAGGGCTGAGGGCCACCAGCGATGCCCCATCGCTTCAGCCAAGGTCCGCCCCCCTCGCTCGCTCTCGTTTTGCAGTGGCCGATCACTGCCAGCAAGGCTCTCCAGCTTGGCCTCGCCATTCGCTTTTCTGGGTGGGCCGGCTGCTGTGAGCTGGGCACGGGAGGAGCCTTTCAGGCTGGGGAGCCAGGAACATGCCACCATTCATCAGCTGCATGGTGGTTGGCAGGGCGGTGGAGGAGGCAAGGGCGGGAGCGATCTTCCCGCTAGCAGTGGGCGGCGAGAGGACCCTGAGAGGCAAAGGGACCAGCCTTTGATGCACAGATGGTCTGTGCAGGCGCCAGGGATGGAGGGAAGGAAACCAAATGCATGGTGAGAAACAGCCTGAGGAACCGCTCTGGGAGGTTTTGCAGAGCTGCGTAGAGCTGTTTCTGCCAAGACAGGCATCCTGGTCCAAGGGAGTCTGTCGGAATCTGCATGCTAGGAAGGGAAAAGGAGAGTCTTCCACTTTCCTGAGGGCTTCCCAAAGCCCATCAAGGGTCCTGAGAAGTAGTGGCGGCAGGAGGCAGGGTGGCTCCTGCTAGGAAAAGAGTGAAGGTCAGGGCATCAGACTATCGCCAGTCTTCCGTTACAGGGACCAACATTCCCTACATCAACATCACACTCTTGTGTGAAGTGTGCATATTCACACCAATGACAAGTACAGGCTGTGCCTGCAACCGGGGGAGGGGCTGAGGGGGGATCTGGTGGTGGTTGCCTGCTGCTTCCTTGCAAGAGAGGAAGAGTGGGTGCAATGCAGCAATTTCATTTTGTTTGGAGCAATTCAGAAAGAGTGCCACAAGCTTGCTCCTCCTCGGTCCCCCCATTTTAAGGGGAAGGGGGTTGAGAGCCCAGCAATCAATCCGGATGCCCAGTGTCCTCTGCCAAGCCCCTCTCAAGGCCACCTGCATTGAGGATTAGAGAGAGTCTGTTTGGGTGGCAGAGATAAGCCCGTCATCTGTCAGTTCAGTGAGACCCCTGCAGGGGCTCCTCTACCCCCTTTCGGCCCATTGATAGCAAGCGATCCATCACCAGCAGGCCTCACCCGAGGCAACACCTCTGGAGCTACCAGATGGAACGAGTCACCTCCCAGGCATGCCTAAAGCCATCATGTAGAATCACCCCCTTGCTCTGGAACCAGCCTACAAGAGTGATTAAACTGAGAGGCTTCCGAAAGCTTGAATATCGCAGCATAGTGACAGAACTTGCTACTTCCTGCTATTTCCATGCCCTCCTGGCAGATGAACATATTAAGGACAGCCAAGAATGAGAACAACTGTGCAGCGAATCCTGGTATCTTCAGATATTCCTTAACTCACCAGCTTTTTTAATGATACAAAGATGATCTACAACTGTTTTAAGGGTGCAGTCCTATGCATGCTCGGACAGAAAGAGTCTTGCAACTCCCAGCCTTATGAGGAAAATACGAAATACCTTTATTTCATAATCGGGTCCTGCATTAAAAGTGACTGGGTTGCCCTCTTTAAGCATGGTCTTCCCTGCTCCACGGAAGAGCCAAGTCACGTAGAAGAACCAGCTGCATGGAGATGCTTCCGGATGAACACTCCTGCGTCATTCTACTTGGCTTCAAATATCGAAGCTGCTGCAGTGCTCCGTAACCTTCCAGCTGCAGCTCCCTTGAGTGCATGTGTGTGAGACTGTGGCATGTGCCCTCTGTGAGAAAGTCTCTCGGTGGCAAGGTGCATGCTTGCATGCCAAAGTGCTTGGCATTTCCAGAGAATGGAAATGGGGAAATCCTGGAGAGCTGCTGCTGCCGAGTGCAGAACTTTGGGCACAATCCCATGGCTGATCCGGCCAGGCATAGGCAAAGACTGCATCCTCAGAAAAGCTTTCCAGGGACGCAGAGGGGACTGCGTCTTGAGGAGGCCTCCCCTCTGCCCTTGCAGCCAGTGCTGCTCTTTCTGCATCAGGTGTGGTACCCAAGAGGAAGAGAACCTTCAGGGCAGGTGCTGCAGGGAGGGGTGAGGCATGGCCATCACCTGCTGGATCCAGGGGTGCCTCAACTCCTCCTCCTCACAAGACATGGGCATCAGCCTCAAGCATGTCAAGTAAGGAGAGGAGATGCGGAAGAAGCAGGAGCAGGAGGATCGTGCTCAGTTGGGAATTGCCAGAAGGAAGTCTGCAGGCAAGTGCTGACATTCAAGTGGGAACAGGCAGCTCTTCCCTTGCTGGCCATCAGTTCATGTTTTGTAACTGATACGGCAGCCCTTGGGTGACTCTGGGCCAGTCACAGACTCTCAGCCCAACCTACCTCAAAGGGTAATTGCTGCAAGTGTAAGGTTAAGAGAAGAATTGTGTGAGTCACCTTGAAATGAAAAAAGTGGGGTCTAAATATAACACATAACAAATACGCAGGATTTACTTGTTTTGGAAGAGACATGGCACTGGTGTACTGAGAACAAGCCGATTCTTGAAACTAAGTAAAATCAAACATGCCGGTGTTAGCCTTCGATTTTCAGAAGCATTCCTCAAATTTGAATTTTAAAAGTGGACTTTGAGGTGGTTTCAAAGGTGCCAAGTTCTCGTTTTGTCAAATTCATGGAAAATGAAGGCATGTCTACAGAAGGATGTCAGGAAAAGCCTGCATTCTTCCATTATGATCTGCTGCTTAGGCAGGACAAGAGCTGTCCAGAAGAGCAGGACAGAAGAAGGTAGCAAAAGACCACTGCTTGTGGTGCAGATGTTCTTCCCTCTCTACACGGGGCTGGAGTTCAATGGATACAGCAGCATCTTGGCTGCCAAACAGGCCCAGGTATAAACCTGGTACCCCCAGCTGTTGCTTGGAAAATATCTTGTCTGAAACCGTGAGCTAGATGGACCAACCTTCTGGCTTTGGGCAAAATATCTTTCCACACTGAAAATCCATTGATCACAAGCGCCAGTTCTCCAAAATTGCTCACACATTAGCAAAAGAAGTGTCCAACCACAGCCTTGGCTCCTCTGTGGCTTTTGAAAGGTAGAATCCTTAGCAGCATAACCTAGGATGGTGCCGGAGGACAAGACTGGCTTGCGCTTCTTATTAAAGCAACTCCGACTTCAAACAGCCAACAAGATCAAGCACACAAGCAAACGGGACTGGATTTACATCTACTCAGGGTATTTTTTTATTCAATATATTAAATATATATTAATTGGAAAAGTCACATACTGGAAATTGGAAAGCGGGGATAGACAAATATAAATGTCAAAAAATTGGTGGACTTTACAATACAAAGTTATGTACACAGAAAGGCAGAAGGTGTGCTGCAGGTACAAGGGCAATGCACGAGCGTCAGTGGCTCAAACAGAAGAGTCCCCCCGTCTCCCCTCTGCCATTCATCCATTCATCCGTATTTACAAAGCCATCATGCTGTTCTTATATACAACTTTTACAGATACACCCAACCAAACTTGACTGCCGCTGATGAAACAGCAGGTAGGAGCAAGCTGTCTGTGGGATGCCCACTGCTTCACGGTAGAACTGTCCCTCCGGCCCTTGCCAATTGCTCCAATGCTTCTATGCGGAGGGCGTGGGAAATTCCAGTTCCCATGTCCGGGAGCGAACGGTCAAACCAGGGCTGATCCAGGACTGACAACACAGATTGCGAAAGAAGGAGAAGGTACCTCTGTTTTAAATCCCTAACCAGGCTTGGTCTGTTAAAAAAGAAACAACACCACAATCCAACCGAGCTTATTCCACACATATTACAGAAAGCTGATCTGTGCCACTGTATGGAATTCAGGGCGCTGGACTGCACGCAGAGCTGGTGGCAGGCAGTGGAAAAGGGCAGCATCATTTAGGAATATTGTGCACGTAACCTGAGAAGGCACACTGGGATTTCCCCACATGGTTAAAAAAATACAAGCCCAAGACATTGTCCCAAGTTCACAGAGAATTATATGAATTATATGGTGATTCTTAATGTCTCAAGAAATGTGTAGACTTAAAGTGGGGAGTGCAAGGGAGAAAAAGGGGCATCTGTTGTTTGTGGTCTTCAGTTCCCAACCACTGGATGTAAGCACCCCTTTAAATGTCTCTGGAAATGTTCCTGCTGTCTCCCCTCCAGAAGACTGGTGGCAGGGAATTCCCTCTGCCAGTTGCTCTCCACCCAGGGGAGAAACACAAACCGAAAGAAAGAAACGAAGAAAGATGCCCTTCCCCAAAGGAAGCACCAGATGTTCGCTGCCACTTCCAACTGTCAAGTCCTCAGAAAGGCAGCGTGTCCATGAAGATTTTATCCACAATGGGGGGCGGGGGCACCAGGTCCTCCAGCTTCAGGTAGAAGATGCGCTGCAGGCCTTGAGTGCAAAGCGTGCGCAGCTCCGGGAGTTTGCCCAGTAGCTTCGAGAGGCAGTTGGGGTGCACCTGCTCGCTGGTGGTGGATGTCACGTGGTCTTTAAGGCAGTTGACGATGCGGTTCTGGAGGTCTTCAACCTTCTTTGGCTCCTTTAGCCCGTGGCGGTCTGGTTTGTCGATCGGAAGGAAGAAAAGGAACAGGGAAGGAGGAATTAAAAGAAAGGCAACAAAAGTTTTCTCCTAAAGCAGGGGTGCAGAATGGTTTCTGGCCCACAGGCCGAATTCCATGTTGGAGGTGCTCTAAGGGGCAGCCCGGGCTGAAGGCAAGAGACACATGGCCAAAATGCCAGCATATGTTAACTTGAAGCTCTTACTGCCAGGGAATAAGCCTTGTGAGAGGCATTTCATCAGTTTAAAATGGGGGTGGTGGGGTGGGGAGGGAGAGACGTGATGCAAAAATCAAAAGCTCACAAATGATTGTAGCTCATATCTTAACTGTTTGTGTGGCATTTGTCTCTTTTAATTGTTTGTAATCTGCCTAGAGAGCAGTGAATCAAAGAAGTCAAGTTTTTTTTTTAAAGTCCTGCTCTATGAGAATAATATATCCATTAATAATATCCGTTATTTAACCCTCCTCATTGTTTACACTTTTCTCTGAAGAGGTCTAGAAAGGTCACGGACTGATTAAAAGATCGAGTGCCTTTGTCCAGCTATCTGGACTGCGTTTCAAAACAAGCCTGTAGCACCTGACCATTATAAGCTGGGATAATTCTGCAGATGTGTTACATCCTATGTATGGTACGTAACATTTGTCCAAAGATCCCAGATGCTTTCCGTGCTGCTGCCTTCCTTCCCTGCATGAGCATTCATCCAGAACATCTGGTGCTCACCTACCTGTGATTATGACAAGGGCCGCGAGACAGGAGAAGGAGGGAACATCAATGTTCATCCGATGTAGGTTCTGGGAGTACTCAATAATAGAGTCTATCCATTCCCCAAAGCCCCGGACACACTGCATACGATGCAACACAACACCATTGCAGAATATCAGTTTTCCTTCTTCTGGCTTGGACCTACAAGAGAGAGAAAGGGAGTTGGTGAAGCTGCCAGAGAGGAGTTGATCCAACCTTGACACTGGATAGGAGAATCTGTTCCCTACCAAGATGGATTTGTCAAGCAACTGGAAGGAAGGAAGGAAGATGAGAGGGGTAAGTGGAAATCTACTGTATTGCTCCTACAGTGGTGAACCCTTCCATAGCACATGAAGTGGGGCTCATTTGCATGCCTTTGCCCTCAGGTACTGCTAGACCAAAGGCTGAGCAGATTCCCAAGTGATGCCCCTTCCCTGGAACACTTCATGGAGTTTGTGTGTCTCATAACAACTGAGGGTTGAAATCTTAGCCACATTTTTATTCTGTCCTTTTTCCAAAGAGAGCATTGCATGACCTGGTAAATGCCGGACAAGGTACCCTTGACATCATACATGCTGAATTACTCCAATTGTAGAGCAAAAATGCCTGCCCTCCACCTGCTCCAAGTAGCTTCTCCTTCCCTCCTACAGAACTAAGCTCCCTTTCTTGGGGGCAGCAACAATGCCTGCACATGATTCTGCATGTCCCTTGCTCCAGCAAAGAGGCCCTGACTTCCACAGAAGCTGGGCAACGGAAGCTGGGGCAACTAGATTAGAGCATCAAAGGCACTCCCCATGGCATTTACTTACTACAGATCTCTGAAGCACCCTCAAACAATTGCTGCCCTGTCCTGGATGCCAGAAAAAGGTCCTTGCCCTGCATGACCAATCCCATCCTACTGTATTCTTTGACTCTTAAGATACATGTTTTAAAGAGTTGCAGCTCTGTCTTTCCATCTTTTTGGCCTACGGCCACCTTCCAACATCCATGCTACCAGAAAGGTGATCTCTACACCGAGGCTAAGATGACTGCCATTTGCAATAAGTCTGTGGCGTAAAGCATCTTACCTGTATGCTAGCCGGAGAATGAAGAGTTCCAGAAAAGCAGATTCCAAAAGCAGGTCTTGATCCTCCTTTGGAAGCTCTAGGAAGCCCTGGATCTTCTCTGCCCATTTTCGGATCACATCCATTGAGCCTGTTAACAGGTCATAGAACTGCTGCACGTCCATACAGTCCTCCTTCTCAAATTGGTAGGAGGCAGATTCCTGGAACTGACAGTACAAAACAGGCACTGTTGATACATATTTCTACCACTCCTGAACCAAGGAGCATCTTTCAATTATGTTGACTGAAGGAACGACATACTCCACCCCAAATGCATAAATAAATCTATGAGATTGGCTAGGTGTGATGACCGCCCCCAACTCCAACAGCTTGAACAAAAGAAATGCACAGATTTACAGGAGCTGGGAGCTGCAGCACTTTCTTCTGTCTAACCATGCTCGGGATTGCTGTCTGAAGAACTAAATGCCTGCTGGCAGAAGGCAATCTTAACTCTGGCATCAACATGCGTTCAAGTGAAGGGAAGGGCATTCCACAGTGATCTGTCCTGACTCTGAGGCACCGTATGGCAGAGCCACAACTATTTCACACTCCGACTGCCACCGCGGCATATGGGTGGGATGCCTCAGGCTGTCCTGGGACCTCGCTGCTCCACACAATTCACAGGGTGCAGGAGGGCTTGCAGGAACTTGCTGGCCAGCAGCCCAGAGGCAAGTACAGAATGTACCGATGGTGAGGGACCGAGGGGCGCCCTCTCTGCTATCAACTGCAGCAGGACACAGGCTGCATGGAGGCCCAGCTATATCTGTCTGTGCCCTAGCAACAGCCGCTGATGTTGGGTCCCAAGACATCCGGCAGGCTGTCCCATTTATCAGCCTGACACTTTTCTGCCCAACACCCATCGCTAGGACCACCATGCCTCCGCCTCCTGGAACACAGATTAGTACCTTGGAATAGTCGAGCTTTGTGGCGCTGGGTATGGAATCTATGTGCGCTCTCACGAGGGAGGAGATGAGGCTGACCGGAGAAGCATCTTGAGCTTGTTTGGGTTTGGAGGGCAGCCGGCCACGCCGGCCTTTCAAGCTGTCTGTTCGCACCACTGAGGAGAGAGAGCGGGGGGAAGAGAGCAGAAATTGAGACAAGCAAACCGTACTGACAGGCGAAAAAAGCAGTTCAGACAAGTTTTGAAATAAGCAACAGATTAGAATCCAGACCACATCCTAACTGGGTTTCACTGAATTGTTCAGAGCTGTGTATTCTGTACGTTACAAGCACCACTTAGAGGGGTGAGATGCGACCCTGTACATCAGCCTTCCCCAACCTCATGCCTTCCAGACACATTTGAACTGCAACACCCAGAATTCCAGTCAGTGGCCCTGCTGGACGGGAATCCTGGGGGTTGTGGTCCAAATGCCTCTGAAGGCCACTTGGTTGCGGAAGGCTGCTGTACATAATGGGCATACCTGAGGCCTTCTGTAGATTTTGGCTTCTCTCACCATTAGCTAAGCTGGCTAAGGCTGATGAGAGCTGTAGACAGAAACTTCTGGAGAGCCCCAACTTGCCTACCCCTGTAGCCCGTGGGGTTGGGCATCTTGGGAGATTCAAAGGAGGCAATGAGACGTGCAAGAGCTTTGCCTCCTCGCCCCATATTTGCAGGTCTTACCTGGTGGGAGACCTTTCCACCTAGCAAAGTCTTGCCTTTTGATAGGGCCCCTGCTTAATTCACACTTTCCCCCTTGGACCTTCAGAATGCTTACAAGATCTCACTGGCTGCAGCGGGGTCACGACAACAGCACCAGCGATAGTCTTTGGCCAGGTGCTCAGCCTCGGCACAGTGCATCGTATCTGGCTCAGCATCAGCACAGCAGCTGAACACCTCGGATCACTCGGCCATAGTGGCAAATGGGTTCAGTGCAAGTTTATGGCCAGAAAGGAACTCACAACTCTTAGTGAATGCACTTTCTAAGCCAGGTAACTAATGCAGGCAACACGGTTGCGGCAATGCTCAACCTGCACAAAAGTGAGGAACGGAAGGAAAGAGACCACATGTAGCCCTGCAGAATCCACAGGAAGGATCTGCTCACCTTCTTTAACCATTCCCACAGCAAGGCACTTCTGGAAACGACAGAACTGGCATCGGTTTCTCCGCCGCTTATCTACAGGGCAGTCTTTGTTGGCTAAGCAGATGTATTTGGCATTCTTCTGGACTGTGCGCTGTAAGAGAGAACATGGGGGCTTTGATGATCACGCTTGTGCACACACAGTTCCCTTATAACCATCTCTACGCTTCAAAGTCGGTAACCACATCCTTTTTTCACATTGTACGTAGTTTCTCATTGCACAAGGGCACCTGCTGCAAGAGCATGGCAGAAGATTCGTGTTCTTCCGGACACATATGGACCCACACAATTCTGTACATGGGTAATATTACTGTAATGCCACAGAAACGGGACAAAACATAGAAATGGCACCAGGTATGCTTGGCATCAGAGAAACTGAAACATTCAAGATTTATAGTTGCCCTATTTCAACTAGAACCAATCTAAAAAGCTTTATGTTCTGAGTCAAGTCCATTATCATCATCCAGAGATGAAAAATCCTGCATGCACATTCATTGTGCGTAGGCATTAGCGACTAGACTCTTGGATGCAACTGAACACCCACCTTCGACATGCATTACAAAGAGACATGTCGGCGGATGACTGCCAGCCGAGGTTGCTGTTCACTGCTCATTTTTCTAGTCTTAAGGCATCCCACTGAACACTGCCTCTATTTGCATGTTCTGATCCACAAAACTGTACATGGCTATTGGGAGAGGTTGCAGCTCAGTGGCTGAGCAGCTGGGTTTGCATGCAGACATACCCAGGTTCGACCCCTGGCACCTCCAGGTCGGGATGCAAAACCCCCTCCTGCCTGAATCCACAAAGACTCACTGCTGCCTCTCAGTGTCAACAGTACGGGGCTAGATGGACCAGTGGTCCAGCTCTGTATTAGGCAATTTCCTAATAATTAAATATTTGCCTGTTACTTCCAGTAATGCAAGTGTTTTTGTAGATAATTAGTCCTAATATGTGTTTAAAATGTTTTCATTCATGTGAAACAACAGGTTTTTCTATACATTCTTGGACAAGAGAAAATCACTGCAAAATTCAGAGAAGCATGAATATCAAAAGATGTTCAGGCATTGGCTTGGGAAGTGTAATTTGCGGGGGGGGGGGCTTGCACTAAAATATGAACCAAACCATCTTCCTTGACACCAAAATCAGGGAAATGTCTGGGTGGATGCACCAAAAGTCACAGCCATATAATCAACTTGCCTCTTTTGGCCAAGTCACACGACCAAATGGACACATGCGGAATGCAAGTTCCATGGCTGCAGGTAGAATCTATGCACTGTGACGCAAAAGTGTAGGGCTGATTTGGCCCAAAGGAGCACTCTCCCCACATTTCTTTACCTCTTTTAAACACTTTTAACAGGCTGCTTCTGTTTGCTTTATGGGACTGCTTTAAGCAAATATCTGGGTTGCAAACAAGGAGTCATCACATGGCATCCATATACCCAAAGTGCCTGGCCTGGTTGAAATCTTACTGTGATCAGCCACCCAGAGAGCTTCAGCTACGGGCAGTACAGAAACGTAATGATAATAATAACTGCTTTGCAACCACACTGAAGCCAACATGGATTCCCATAACACCAGTTCGATCAAATGAATTGAGGCCAAACAACACATGAAATTCATCCTGTAGTCTGCCCTTGAGTGCACCTTTTCCATCTGCAAATTTCCTAGGTGGCTTGGAAACCTGACGTGGGGGTGGGGGGTGAGGAGAATCCTGTTGCCCCACCCCCCTACCTCAGCTTGCAGGGTGCACTGGAAAACACTCCTATCTGCTCCGGCTGGAATTTCCATGCAGTGCAAACTGCTGCGATAAGCCTGGAATGTAGGAAGCTGCCCTGTGTGGAATCAGCAGACCTATCTAGCCCGGCACTGTCTCCATGTGAATGATGGCCAGCTCTTTCCAGAGTTCGAGGTGGGAGAATCTTCTCCCCAGCAGGGCACTGAACCTGTGACTTCTGTGCGCAAAGCAAGCGCTTTAGCACTGCCACAGCCCCTCAAGATCAGGGACACAGCAGAGGAGGAGAAAAAGGGTAATGAGCCAGGGTCCCGGTTGCTTTTTTCCCTGCTGGTACAAACAATTTGTGGAAGAAAAAAGCCTTGCCATGAAGGGAAAGTGACGTGCTTTTGTCCCTCATCACACCTGATTTCAGGAGGCAAAATGGATCCCCCTTTTTGTGTATTGGAAAAGTCAGCAGTTTTTCTATTGGCACAAAGCTGTGCTTGCACCACAGACCAGTGTCATAGCCCTTGCGGTTCTGGATTTCCAGAGGAGTGTTAGTTTATTCATGGTAGCAAGGAGTCCTGTGGTACCTTGCAGCCTAACTCATTTATTAATGATTGGAAAGACAAGGAATTTTAAGTGGCAGATGAAGGGAAATGAAAAGCAAGACAAGGGTTGGGATATATGAGAAGTCATTGCAGTAAATATTTACAAAGCAATGTTCATGATTAACACGAACATCCTGGCCCTGGTAAGTGAGCTAAAACACTTTGATTCTGGAGGTAAGTAAAGGAAATCCAGTAGTATTACCAGCACCTTTTCCCATTTCCAACTTCCATGCATGGAGCGATAAACAGTGAAAGTGATGCTAAACAAAATAGGTTTGTAGCATAGATACTGGCTGCTGCTTGAAATTTTGGGCTATTCTTTCCAGCCATCATTTCCCCATTTTGAAGACGTAAGGGCCCACAAATACTGCCTTAGGTAACTAGTCCAAGCTCTATTCCCCTTCACCAAACCCCATCTGTGATACAAGAGATGTGGGCCACTGTTACTGATACATTCTGTGAGAAAACTCAGAACTGAACACATAATTCCAGTTTTCTTCAGAGACCAACTGTCTAGGAAGCCTACATTTCGGGCCTTTCTTTGAATTTTCAGATTCTATTATTAAAGAAGGGAAAATTTCTACATTCCCCTTTGCCAACCTAGTGGCCTGCAAATCTGAAGCTCCCATAATCCCCAGCCAGCATAGTCATGTTTCCTGAGGATGACAGGAGCGAAGTTCAACACTTATGAAGGACATCACTTTGGCAAAGGCCAGACGGGCCCTTTGACCGGGGGAAATGCAAAGAAAACTGTATAGGCAGCACATTCAGCATTTGGAGGGAAGATCAAAGTTTGCTGAAGGACAAGGATCTTTGGAAAAAGCTCTTAGTGTGGCTGACAACCCCCAAACAGCTGCCCAAGCATGCTCCACGAATATATGATGGCAACTAACTGTCGCAGGGAAAGAAGGAAAAAAATACTCTTGCGGGGGAAAGCGATGGAACAGAACATCCCTGAAGAGGGCATGGCTGGCTGGAATCCCCTCTCAGAAATACTCTAGCACACTGCAACGTTTTGCTGCAAGCTGCGCTTGTTTACCTTATTGCTGGCCAAGCAGCATTCCAATTAGACAACTTTATAAACATCCAAGGAAACCTGTATGTGGTGGCTGTTCTGTAGTGATTCCCAGCCTCATTATGCAACCTCACCAGTCACTGGCCTGTCTCTACATTTCCTTATTTGTGGTCTTCCCAAGTTTCTATTCCTAGCAAAGCTATTATACTTGGAATGCCAACATACTTCATCAGCTTTAAGGTCTCTACCGCCAGTTACTTTGCCTGCCTCTAAAAGAAAGGCAGCACAAAACAACCTTTTGCCATCTGGTACGCTCCAGATGATTTGCACTATACCTCCCATCAGCTCCAACCAGCATGTCCAATGGTCAGGGAATATAGAAGCTATAGTCCAAAGGACCTTGAAAGTACAACAGTGGGGAAAGTGGCCATAAAGTGACAGCTTTGAGGCATAAAAAAATAGTCCATTGCTCAGGTCTGGCCAGATTTACTAAGGCTGCTATTTGCCATTTTTGTGCAACATGAGATAGTCCATAGCTGTTGTATGTCCAGCACTCAGTAGTTGACCAGTGAGATGAATTTGCACATCTCAGCCTTTGCAAGAGACTAAAAGGGCTTCACAAAGTCCTGTAGCATGCAAAACACTTGGTTTCCAACCCCAAAATTTTCCTGCCACCTACCCTGTGAAGGGAAGAGTTTCTCACAATGCCCTCCTTTATTTAGAAAGGCTGGGGGGAGGGAGGTCCGATGACTCATCCCCGCAGCAATCAACAGCAAAGCCTTCCCCCCACTTCCCTTCCCCACAAAAGGAGGCTTTGAAGTCCCAGCATTCTTTGCAGTGGCTGCAGGGCCATACAGAATGCTAGAATGTTCTAGTGCCTTCATGCAGATTTCCTCCACCTGGCAGTCCACCAACTCCTGTGCTGGCCAGGGGGTGATGGGGGTAGCAGTCCCTGCCTCTGAAGAGAACTAGGTTGGTGAAGTCTGCCTTAAGGACAGCCAGTGCTGAAGAACTCCAGATGTGGTACAAGTAAGTTCCCAGAGTACGATACGAGAAGGGACAAGCTCCCCTTACCTTGAAAAACCCTTTGCAGCCTTCACAGGTCCGGACCCCATAGTGTTGGCATGAAGCGTTGTCCCCACACACCGCACAACGCCCCTCGTTGGACCCTGGGCTGCGTGCCTTCGTTGGGGAGAGGGAATTGTCCATCAAGCCGGTGCTATCCAGGACTGGCGAGGCCTGGCCCAGGGGCAAGGGGGAAAAACTCAGAGAAGGGGAGGTCTGTGGAAGCGAGAAGACCTCTCCATCCACCAAGTGCTGGTGGGCAGCTGGCTGCATCTTCAGAGGGCTCTGTGGGGGGACCCCAGGGCTGTGAGCTGCAGGGCCAAAGGAGAAATAGGCTGGTTGGGTGGAGCTGCTTTTGGGCGGCTCTGTTGCTGCTGACGCTACCACCCAGGGCCTCATGCCCTCATAGGTGTGAGTAGGAGAATAGGCCCCAAAGGAGTTCTCCCAGGAAGGGCCCTGTGAAGACTGGAAGCTTGGTGTGGAAGGAGAAGGAACGGAGCATGGGCTGCCATAGTAGTCCGAGCCACTTGAGGACATGGTCTCATCCAGCTGGCTGCTGAAAGGGCCGGGGTAACAGCCGTACACTTGGAAGTCCTCCAGCTTGAAGGAGGCAGTGGTGCTGGTGGAGGTGGCAGTGGCGGTGGGAGGGTTTGCAGCTGGAATCTGGTAGAGGAAGGCGTCGAATTCACCCGCGTAATTGTCCATGAAGGTGTTGAAGCTGGGCAGGGAGGTGGTAGCAGCTGTGATCTCAGTGTTAACCAGGTCCATGGTGGTTTTGCCAAGCTCAGGGGTCAAGAAGTCTGCTGGGTGGAGTTCACAGGGTCCTCCGCTCTGAAGCAAGGTCCCATATTGGGTTTGGATACAGGGCATCTCTAGGAGGAGAAAAAGAAGGGTGGGGTGTGAGAAACGAAGTCCCGGGTTATTCCTTCTAATAACCAAAGTTGGCTATTAGACATTCAGTCATAAGGCTAGCAGAGGGACTGAACCGCAGTGTGGAAGGAAAGGTCATTGACCAAAACACTGCAGTGGGAAGGGATGCCTCCCAAAATGCAGAAGTCTTGCTGTGAACTAATGTTACACAAATGCCCTTACCAAGCTGGCCTGGGTTGTATCCATTAGTCTAACTTAACTCCCAATAGTTTCAATAGGCCTGCTTTAGACAGGAATAACTCCCTTGGCAGCAACCATTACTTTAACCTCAATATTCCCCTGCCCCCAGGACCTCCTCCTTGGCCCTTTCTTCATATAAAAGAAAACTGAAGCAAGGGACAGGAGTATGGAACTAGGGTTACAAGAGCACCAATGTTTCCAAGGCACAATTTCCAATGGAAATACGAGGAAGAGGAATAGGATCCAATCCTTCGTTTTACAGGATCCTTCCCTTTCCTCTCCCACCAGGCATGACTGCTTGCATTGTAAGAAGCACCGTGAGCACTGCGGAGCCTGGGTAACCCTTCATAATAACCTTCAAAGCTGTTCTCCTTGAGGAAAGAACAGTTTTTATCAACACTTTGTTCAAAAGTGTGAGGGTGTGAAACAGGAGGCGACCTGCCGCAAGCACACGCTTGTGCAGACCCTTCCCAATGACTCAGTGCTTGTGTGAATGCAGCACCACCTCCACATTTCTTTCAATACTTCTGCCAATCTGAGGCAGATGCTAACTTGTCCCTGACCCAGAACTTGAGAACTGCACAAGATCTTTCTTTGACAGCAGCCTCTTGACAGATGCTGTTCAGACGTCAAAAGCAAGGCATGCAGATGTATGGAGTGACATATATTCATTCAGGCACTGACTGCCTTGCAGGAAGAAAAACTAACTAGAAAGCCATTTTTTTGAAAACTTATCTACCCTCCAACAATAAGTGAAGGTTCCCCAAAAACACAAGCTTCTTCACTGACTGCATCATAGGTGTTGAATGGGTTTTCGCTCTTGAGAAGAGAAACATCCAATGTTTTGCCTCCCCACTTCCACATTGTACGATGTCTCACCTTTGCTTGATACCTGGAGTGGCAGAGTCTTAGAACAAGGATAGTTTCCATGGGAATAGGAAGACTGCCACTGGTAGTGCAATAGGGCAACCTCCACACTTGATGCGTCTATCTTATCCCAACTTTTAAGCAGCACTTGTGCCAACACGGAAAGTACTTCCAATGCAAGAGTAAAAACAAACCCACACATCCAAGCATCAAAGAAAACTACACCCCACTAATAACCAGTTTATACAGGACACTGGATACACTACGGGCACTGAAACTTCTTCATGAGACAGCATGTATGTGGATCTACTCAGGAGATGGAAGAGAAAGAGCAGGGAGATGAAATGGGATAAAAACACGAGGAGGGAAGAAACGCATTTTGCTTGGGCTACACTCCAGTTGGGGATGAATGAGGACAGAAGGCTGAAGCCAAAAGCGTTATGAAAGAACTATGCAAATTTCCTGGAAGGAAGTTTAAGGCAAAACCACAAAGAAAGATACTCAGGATGAGTTATTTTAAAAAACTTTCTTGTACAGTCTATGAGCCAGCACAAGAATCCAGTTACCCAAAAACCCCAAAGGTTTAAACAGACTTGGCCTAAGAGACCCAAGTCATCGAGGGTTGCTTTTTCTACACCCAACAATACCCAGTTCTTCTGAAGAGCTACTGATGTTTAACTTCAGATGCGCAGCTCGCAGCAGGATCCCCATTCCTAATGTCTGAAGATATGAAGAATCGCACAGCTCAAACTGTGGATCTGAATGGCTGGACAGACAACATGCTCTTAGGTCTCAGCCCCCCCCACCCCCCATTACAGGGACAACTGGCCTTGGGGTCCTGAATTTCAGAACAGGCACACCAAGAACGATAGTGCTGGATTAGCACCATTACTTCACACATGCCAGCCTTCACCAGATGCTTTGGACTACAAATGCCAGCATTCCCGGCCATTGCTCATGCTGGCTGGGTCTGCTGTGAGTTGTAGTCCAAAACATTCAGAGGGTATCAAGCTGGGGAAGGCTTTTTGCTTCCCTTTCCACTCTTAATATGGGCATTATTAGCATAAAGACCTAGAGCAAAAGCTGCTGTTCTCTCCCTACCACCCTGTGCATGCACAGCCCTATTTAGCCTATCTTAGATAAGGAAAAAGTAGACACGCCTTAATCATCCCATGCCAGAAGCAAATTACAAGAATAGCAGCATTATTTAAGTCAAACCCTGCCTGCTGACTCTGCATTTACCTTCGCAGAGCCTCTTCTTGAAGGTGCTGTTCCTGTTTCTTGAGATTTAACCCAGGCAACCCTTTTTAAATTCAGCTCTCAAGAGTGCACTATGGGCTTCGACTGCAAATGGTGCCCTCTAAAAGGTGAGACGTAACAGGAGTTTTTGGCTGTAACCCTTGTAGCAAGATGATAATGTCAGGCTGATACCAGACCTTTAAAGGTTAGGCTCTATTAGTCAAGGAGCTGCTGCTCTAATGGGTGGGGAAGGTTTATGGAAGTCTGAGCCAAAGAGACTTTACAGGGTCGTGTCATTCTTTGGGGAAGATCTTCCTTTTGGGAGAATGGGGCTCCTCCTTCCAGTTCAACAGAGATGCTTTTCATGGGAAAAATCCCCTCCACAGAGAAAGAGACTGGACTGACTTTGACTGTAAGGAGGACAGGTAAGAGCCATGTTTGCCAAAGAGGTGGCACGCTGATCCAGAAGCAAATTCAAAAGATTATCCCCCACGGAACGGGACCAGACTCACTCCCCAATCTGGCAGGAGTGCCAGGTGGTGCAGGCAAGAGTGTGCTTGCACTGTGCCTGAGCAGAGAGCCGCAGGGACACAGGCAGCAGCTGGAACAGCAACAATTAGCACTGATGCTTCCACTGTAGCAAATAAGTTATTTTTCTGTCATCTTGCTCCTTTGCATGTGCTTTCTATTACCCTGTAAGTATCAAAGGAAGGGGTTACGGTGTCAGCTGCCCCTGTCTAGGGTCACAGTCGTGAGCTTGAACAGGCTTCCAAATGTCCTCCCCCGATTCCTTCCAGAAGCGCCAGGGCTCTCAGCAACTTATTGGAGAGACACTGTGCCCCGTTTAGCTAAGAGCTGGATTCAGTGCAGGGTTCCAGAGGCGAGTGCAGGCACAGGCCAAAGCACAAAACGTGCCAGCATGTTCCACTCAAAGCTCTTACTGCCAGGAGCTAAGCCTTGAGAGAGGAATATTAGCCTTTTAGGGTGGAAAGCGAGAAGAGTCCGGAAGCCCCCAAATGACTGAGGCTTGTGGGAAAGGGGCAGCAGCAGAGTCTGAGGTTCAGCTCCCCTGCAGAACTGTCCTCGGGGAAAGGTTCCACCTACCCAACCGGTGGGCCAAAATGCCTTCACATTTTTTGTATCTTTTGTTAGCCACGTGATACTGCACACTCCCATTGCTATCTACGCCGTGACTCAGCGTTGGGCCCCTGCTTTGCATACAGAAAGTCCCAGGTCTAACCCCGGAGTCTCCAGGTCGGGCTGGACAGCCAGGGCTGCCTCTGAAGAGCCACGGCTGCCAGTCAGTGCTGCCAGTACCAGGCTAGACAAAGCGAGGGTCTGCCTCAGCACAAGGTGGCTTCCTCTCTTCCTCGTTACCCTCCACTGTTAAAATAGAACTTCGGTACTTAATTATTAAATCCTGTTATGATTTACAGTGCTCTGGTGCAGCAACAGATGCTACCCAAGGCTCTTCATGACACAGTATTTATTTGCTCCCTCTCCCTGGAGAGGGAAGCCTGACGTCTACAAATGCGCGAGGACCGTGTCCCCAGGGAGAGCAAATTGAGGTAGTTCCATTACACTCACTGGAGTTCTAACTGTGGGGACTTGGCTGGGTTGGCAGAGCAAAGGAGTTGATTTGACAATACACAGTCCTGGCCACCAGGAAGGATCCTCTGCTGGGCCTTCTCAAATGCAATGGGTCTTTCCAGGACCAAGCTGGACAGGCGCTTCATCGAGCAGTAGAGCACATTTTTCTTTTAGAAAAAGAATGAATAGCCCATGCATGGGCCTTGGTCTAGATTGTGGCCCTGATGGCGGTGAGCCTTTAACCCTTTCTGGTCCTGCTCTGAGTCCCCCTGCTGTCCTTTAACATTTTAGACCTGCACACTAAAGCTAATGCTGCAACAAGCATCACCTCTGGTCTGCCCTCCACTCAAAGGAGGAGGGAAAAAGAAAGATGTTAGCCAAGTGTGAATGAGGAACAACAAAAGCAAGTGACTTAACTGATAATGCTCTTTCCCACTAACTTGAGGACTGAAACAGCAAAAGTTAGACAAAGGGAGGCCCAGGAGGACCTGACTCATGTTTGAAGAGCCTGCAGGCTGAGAGCAAGCCCAGGCCCTCCCATGGAAATGAGTTATAACAGAACTGTAAAATGTGAGCCAGACATGCAGCCTTCGTGATGCTCTGAAGACACCTAGAAAAACGGGTGGTTGCGAGGGGGCAGGCAAGGCGCCCCACTGCTTCCCCTGCCCCAGACTTGAGCCTCCCCTGGGAAGCCCACAGCTCTTAGTACTAGTTTTGAAGGGCTGAAACACTTGGCAGCTTGTTTGCATGAAGTATTGCTTCTTCTTGCAACAGTTAGCTTGCATCTGAGGTAGTAAAGTCAGCCATGCATCTTTTTTACTGAGTTGCACAGTAGGATACAGTCAGAAAGGTTAATACCTGTACTTCTGAGAATATTTCCATGTCATGCCTGACAGCAGAGGTCAAGTGTTCTCTTCCGGGATAAGAAATGCCTGCCGGTCCGTGTTGGTTCTCTTTGTGATTTAGCACTTATATCCTTGGACTGCCTGTTTGGGGGGAGCGGGGAACACAGCTAGTAAAAATAATAAATGAGCTGAGGTGGCTTACAAAGGGAGAGGCTGAGCAGCTGATAGCCTTAACATACATAATATCCGAGACCAGATGGCTGTTCCACACTTGCTCCAATTGGTTTAGATCTGCATTTGCCAGAAGAGGCCCTTGCAGTTTCAACAATTCTTTTTCAGCTAGGATTCCACCTACCTGTCTGCATGTTCAATAAACACTTCTATTCATGCAAGTGGGATGAATACTCCTACCTGCTTTTCACAAAGTCTCAGGGAGTGAGTAACTGTGCTGGCATCAGTGCTTTGCACGAAGGGCCTCATGGCAGGCGTGGACAGACTGCAGGCTTTCAGGATCTAGTTTGCCTGTTTGTTTGGACTGAGACACTGGGACCCACCAAGCACAGCCTCAGTTCTGAGGCTGGGAATTTGTTTTGAGGATCGGAGGTGAACAGAACCCATGGCCCCTACAAATACCACTCCTGGTTACCCCTGGCTTTCTTCATTTCAATAGGGATGGAGGGGGAGTTGTGCTGCTTTTATTAAACAATTACAGGATAGAAATTCTTGTTGATTTACTGCAAGTCATCTAGAAGCCCGTCAATGGATTGCAATCTGCCTTCTGCCAACCCCAGCTTAGGGAAGTGCAACACTCTCCAACAGAAGCTGCCATGCGCATGTTTCTTCTGCAGGCAACGAAAGCACCCCTTCCAACTGTGCATCCTCCTCACTCAGCCCCCCAACCATCCAAGAATGGCAGCAGTACGGCGTTGCTATAACGACGCGTTCCCCTTGCCACCCCACCCACTTGCCACCCCTTTGCGAATCTTTTTGTTTCAACACAGAGAGAGCACTGCCAATCGCAGCAACAGATCCTGAGCGGCTGAGCTGACTCTCAGGACTATTTGCAAAGCGGCATCGCTGTGCAAGCTGGCCTCCTACCTGTCGGACTTCATTGAACCACTTGGCCATTCAGATGCAGGTTTTCTTTCTTCTTCTAAAGGCTAAAGCCAACACCAAGCCAAGCATTAAGCAAAACTGAGCTGGTGTGGCATAAAGGTTACTTTTCTGGACCGAGACTTGGATTCTAGTTCCCACCCAGCCATGAAGCTCATTGGATGACTCCAGGCTAGTCACCCACCTCACTGGGTTGATGTGAGGATAAAATCAAAAGGAAGAAGAGCACGTAAGACTCCTTGGAGGAGGGAAAAAGGCAGGATGAAAATATATTAAAATAAACACAATATTGAAGAATACTTGGAATAATCCCATTGATTTCACTCAAGTTATTCTAGGTTAGAATTATAAAGATTTCTGCCCTTAACTACCAGCAGACTAGTTGTCCTGGACCAGAGCCCCATAGTGTCTTGACTGACAGTGATCAGAAAATAAAATGTTTGAGAGCAGGAATATGCAACCTGGAGTCCTGCATAAATTGCTTAATTCTCCTTTAGAACATATTGTATCAATACATTATTCCGGCCTTCCCCAATTAGCTGCAGTCAGGCATCTCAGAGGGCACCAGCTTGGAGAAGTATGAAATACTCCAATCTCATGACCACTTACTAGCAGATTTGCTGTGTTTAGGCACTACAGACTGCTCAATAGCACCCCCTGCTGGAGTGACAAATCAGTGACAACGAATTAATTTATCTGCACTTGATTGCATTAGTGCAAGTAAAGCCTCTGAAAGATTCTTAAATTTGTAAGCCAAATCCAACCATTCCTACCCAACCTGGGGGCTGCTCTGCTCAGCCAACCATGCTGTTTCAAAGCAGGTGTGGCAGGCAGCTTAAAGGGGCTTGTAACAAGTAGCAGGTTTTTCATGTCAGTTTCAAACACTTTGGTGGGGCTTATATTCCCTTAGGGAGAAAAACCCTGTTAAAAGGCAATTTCTTACCAGTCAAAAGAATATAGTGCCCAAAATCCTCACTTCTATTGTACTCAAGCTCATTTAAATAAGGGTGGTATGCCTTGACACAGAAATGCAACTATTCTGTATATGCTTCCGACAGCTCTGCAACATACGGAAATTCAACTTGAGCACCGAGGTGGGAAAAGCTTTGCCTAGGACAGGTGAAAACTCCAAGAATATACAGCACTCTCAGCTTGTCAACAGGTCTAAAAAAATAACTGACTTCACTTTCTTTGAGGCAATCCCAAACTTACGCAGTAGCTACAATCAATTTTTTACCTCATCAGTCTCTTGAAATGTTCCAAATTCCAGCTGGGAGACGAAGAAAAGGATAAAAGAATTTAATTATTTTTAATCTTGAAATGGTTGATTTCTCTTAACAGAGATTTGAAGGATGTTTAATGAAACCATCAGGTTCTTTCCTTCAAGCAGCGCTGCAATCCAATACAGCAGCCCTTCCCCAACTTGGAGGCAACCGCACGGGTTGGACCACAACTCCAACAGGTAGGGGAGGTCCACTGTGCAGCCTGACCTGAGAGCCAGGCCCATTAAATTCAGTGACACTTCCTTCTAGGCACAGGCTTGTTCTGTAAGAAACCATTCATTCTTGCAGCTGCTCAGGTAACATGATTAAAATCTCTGTTTTGTTTCCACAGACAAATTGACTTATAGCTAGGTTTTGAAACTGATCCATCTTACTCAACCTTTTTGATGCAGTCCAGATTGAAAGAGAAGGTACCCCGATACATTTGGAACCAAAAAAAGGAGGGGATTACTCCAGCCAGAGAACTTTTGTCAGCCTTTGAAGTCTAGCACACAAACTTGGAAATGCACAGAGTGCTGGTAACTGTGAAAAAAAGGGGGGCTGCCAGGTGCTTGAACTTGATGCTGCACCTGTTGCTCAGAACATGCCAGGAACTGCAAGCCCCCAAGAAGCCACATGAAAGGGGCCATGATGGAGCCCTTCCTAATTTATGCCCTTCAGCACCTGTGCTGGTACCAAGCTGTTTTGCAAATCAAATCTTACTTTCTTTCTCTTTACTTTTTTGAAGATGAGCTTCTCTTGAAACAGGGAGAAAAAACCACACAGCTAGAAAAAGAATGCTTCACACTTTCCCTTTATACACATGCCTTTCTACAGATCAAACAGGAATTGCTCTATTCAATAAACTCCTTTTAGGATCAGCTGTCCTTGAGGGGTATTTTAAGCAAAGAACTTTACTTTGCAGACAAGACTTGAGCATAGTCAACTGTTCACCTGAACATCTTTGGGATATGAAAAAAAAAACCTTGAAATCTTTTTCAGTTGGTGGAGAATTGTGAAAACTGTCATTTTAGGAAGAAGTCTTTACTAGGAAGGGTATGCATTCAGCTGGAAGAAGCAAATTTCTGTTTGATAACTGCATATGTCTAGCAATTTAGATGACAGCCTGATAAAATAAGAGGATATATCTTCTCTTTCCAAACCATGAGCTTAACAAGGAAACATTAGTAGTCTTGCAACTGGATGGTCTTTAGTGGATGCAGTTTGAACCTAGCACACTAGTGCACATTGTGTTTTGCCCATCAGATAACAGATTGCTTTTGCATCATGGAAACAGCCTTCCTCTCCAGTCAGAAACTATGAACTTTTTGCCCCCCAAATAGAGTGCATTCTAGACAACACTGCTGCCACAGTCAGTGCTACAGAAGATTTTAAAATGGTGAAAATAAAACCTGCCACTTGCAACGTCATTTGTACACATCTGCCAAAACTCCCACAAGCTCAGGTTACTGCAACTTCATCCTTTAAAATGCAAATGTGGACTGTGAAAGCTGCAGATTGGAACAAGTGCACCATTATACTTCCTTCAAACTAAACCAAGTCTCCACCCAACCTGATCCCCTTGCACTTTAAGTCTGCAAAGGATAAAAGGAAGCAACATTTCCTCCCCCCCAACACAAGCACACACACTCTCCCCCCTCCCCGCCTTGAAAAACCAATCCTAAGAAGCAATTGTTTTAAGCTTATGTTTGTCGGTCAACTTTCCCAAGCTGCACATTTATCACATGGTTTAAACTTAAGCTTCTTTCAGAATGAGCAGTCAAATCCTTGTAGTGCTTCCCACCTTACTAACTTTTCTATGGCTGCAAACTATTCAGAAGCAAGTCATGTTGAAAAAGGTTTACTGTGGTTTAAGTATGGGTAAGCAAAACTACTTTTAAAATGTATCAAGATAAAGTTATTCTGCAAGAAGCTGCGGGTTTAACTGCGCACTCGTCCTATATTTAGAATCTGTTGTAGTTATTAGTCTAGTTCTAATCCGTGTTTATGCCTAGCCTGCCATTCCTTTTCATCACACAGAATAGCTTTCTACAATACAAGTCCCCCTCACTCACATTCGCCAAAGACCAAAAAGATACAGTCATGTGCTCCCCTGCCACTCAATTCCTCTTGCATCAAACTTTTCAACTCGTCAGATCACCCTGGAGAGAAATGCATTCCCCAGACCACGAAGGTATAATTCATGTAAACTTCATTCCGCCTTCCAAAACTGCATGCCCGCCATTTAATGATAAAACGACCGTGCTTGTCATGCAAGCCCTCCCATCTGTCAAACCGACTCTCCAGCGTGCTATGCACTTTTGCACCTTATTAAAAAGTTGGGAAAAAACAGTCCACGTACCCAAGTGAACTCAAGACAGTTTTGCTGCACTTCCTTCCACTTGCGTGTGCGCGCGCGCCGTGTGGTTTTAAAAGGTTCGGGAAAGTTGTTTTGATAAAGCCAAAGTGCATCGAGAGGCGGCAGTTCCCTCCTTCGCCACCGTCGCGCCGATCAAGCCCAAAGATAAGCGGGGAGGAGAGCGCACGCGAGGGAGCCGCATCCAGTCTAGACCCCGCGTAAGCCACTGGGGCTCGCCAGCCCGTGGCCAGGAGATTCTCTTAAGCTCTCTGTGACGCACGGGCGAAGGGGTGGGCAGGGAAGGCGGGGGGGACCCTCTGACGCACGGGCCAGGCTGCAGCCTTCACCATACAAGGCAAAAAGGGGCGGAATGTTCCGGCGCCGGCGGAGCGAGGGGAGGGGTCGGAATGTCTGCGCGGGTGACGCACGCGGGGTTCCATTGACGCACGCCTTGGAATTGTTTGATCTAAAAATAGCACGAGCTGCCCCCGGCTAAAAATAGAGCCTTTTCCTAAGTCGCGGGGCCGGGGGGGAAGTAAGAAAGAAGTGTCGTAGGAAGAACCGACACGGGGGAGCGGGAGGACCCCAGGCGGCACGGAAGTGAAGGGGCGATCGCGTCGCGAAGTTTCTTGAACGCTCGGGGCGGGCGCAGCCGTGCAGAGCCACGCACTTCGGGCGACCCCTCTCCTCTCCTGCCCACCCGGCTTCTCCGAAGAGCGGCAGCCCCCCGCGCATTCTCAGAGCAATCCCAAGCCGCCCTTTGCTGCTAGACGCTTTCCCTCTCCCTTTAGAGTCACCCACAGCTGCAGCTCCTCCCCTTCCTAGGAGCTGGGGCTGCCCTCACCTGCAGCCACGCGGTGATTTCTGACAAGCGCGATCGGCTGCCCGTCGAAGCGGAGAGCGCGTGAAGGGAGGGGAAAGCCGCTCTGCTGATCACAACAGCCTCGCGGCCGTGACCCCGTCGTCGCCCAAGCCTGCCCGCACCTGATGAAACCCTAAGAGGTTCTTCCATGAGAGGGGAAAACATACATAGGAAGAAAATAAGTTGCAGCTTTTTCTCCGTTTAAAATTTCTTGCTCCTATGTCTTCTGGTAGTAGTAGCCTGATACACCGCAGGGCAGATAAATTTTCCCTGGTCTGGGGATAAAGGGCTGGTGATGAAAGCATCTCCTCACTTTCCATGTGTCAAGCTGCAACTGCTAAGCCGTGCAAGTGGATGCAAGGCCGCTAAATATGATGCAATTCAATAGAGACTCCAGCTTAACTGGTCAGCCACTGCACTTTCCTAACCTCATTTAGCAACACTGAGACATCTCCTGGGTTCCCCCCTTTTTGCAGTGCAATTATCTGCTCTCCAGGCACAGTTTAATTTTAAAAAAAAAGTACATGGCGACGATGTTTCATCTAGCATGCTCCCATCCACATGCCAGGGCCTGAACTCTGGATGAGAGACTGACCAGAAACTTTTTGTCTCAAGTTTGAGGGACAGGAAGAGAAAGTATTAGATACCAAACAAAAGTTTAACACAAGTTTAATCCAATTGTTTTCATAAAACTCAAACTCAAGTCATAAGGTACCTAGTGCCATCCAGATGTATTGGACCACAACATCCTTAACCTCCAGCTTGTGGTGTGGTCCACTGTCCGTGGTGCCCAGGAATGATAAGAGTTGTAATCCAGCACATCTGGAAGGCAGAGGCATGGCATGGACTTGGGGAATGTATATGCAAACATGGTGGAAAGAGACCATGGCCATAACATAATAAAGTTTAAAATCAAACTTATGAGTTTTAATTGATTTAGCCAATGGATTAATTTGTATTTATTTTAGATTTGGCATTCCCCACCACCACACACACACACACACACAGAGGAATGCCTTTCCTGAGATGGTGCTGGCTATGTACCATTCCTCCCTGCCCAATCAGGAATACCTTAGCTTGATCAATATATTTTAATCAATTAGGATACAATCCTATGTCAATTAGGCAGGAAAAAGTAATAGAATCAAAGAATTGTAGTGTTGAAAGAGCCACTGATGCCACTTAATCTGATTCCCTGCTCAGCAAGGGCTTCCAATTAAAGCATCTGGCAAGTCCCAACATTCCTCAGCTAATACCGGGAGCTGAACAACTTTGTGTCAATACATACATAGGATTGCTTGCTTAACTGATTAATACATTGCAGCCCTAAACACTCTCGCTCACTCTCCTGGCACTGATACCAATCTGCTGCAAGTATAAACTTTAAGACTCCAGAGTGGTTAACATCTGTAGCATTCATGGGGAGATTGGTCTGTGAAAGATGATGGAGGAGGCCAGCCAAACTGTGCTAAACATTTGTTCTACCACCATCTGTGGCTGGCTGTTTTCAGAAAGAATTTGGTGGAACTCCCATTGGGTGTTTCCTCAAGCAAGCAAAGGAAACTAAAGACAAAGGCTGAAAAAAGTTTTTTTTTTTTTTAATCTAGGTCAGCCTCAGCACGTGCTTCTTTCCACCTGTTGCTGGCTGTGTGGCTTTCTCAGCATAGCCCAACCACAAATACATTTTAAGTATTTCACTGGCTTCTGGTAAGTGTTCTTAGAGGTGCATCTTTACCACAATGCACCCAATAATCACCTCCAAACCTCAGGGAATCCTCTCTCTCTCTTCCTTTGAGCTAACTCTTTAAATAGTTTACACCCTCGCCCAAAGCCTGGTTTTACTCTGTACTTTTTTATTTATCCTGTTTTCCATCTACCTGGCCTTCAAGGCAGCTTATAACATTAGCAATATACTGAAATCCAACCATACTAATGAAATACAATGTAAAATTTTACACAAATGAATGCCACTAAACATCAGGTGAAAAACACAAGCAGAAAATATGCCTCTTATCAAAGGTATGAGCAGACAGAAATTAATGCTATCTAAAGATGGCAAAGTTGACTCCATAAACACTACCACAAAGAAATCCTGAACCCCGCTTGTTATAAATTTAGGGTTATACCCAATCTTAGCTGAAGTTGTCCCATTAATTTCAATGGGACTACTCTAAGTAGGATTAATATGGGATACAAATTTAGCTACTAAAGCACAGGTGGGCAACTTGTAGCCCTGCAGATGTTCTGGCCTACAAATCCCATAAGCCCTAGCCAGCATAAGCAGTAATATGAGATCATAGGAGTTGTTGACCAAAACTTCAGGAAGGCTGGAGGGGCCTCAGGAACTGATTTTAAAAGATCATTACAGCTCCACCCTGCAATGTTGAGTTGGAGGAGTGGATTACATCACAGGGCTATTCATGTCCTTGTTGTGGACCACTGTACTCCGCTTTAGACTTGTGCTGGTAGCTCTAGTCCCATATAGGTTTGAGTTCCATTTGAAAGAGGATGTCCCATAATTAAACATTAAATACCTACAGGAGAAAGACTAATTCTGATTCCTGCACGATGGATTTCCTCTCCCCACTACAGCCACTACCTATAGGGAAACTGCATCTTTACTGAGCAAACGGAGCTCCTTATTTATACCATGTGCTTGTATTTCTGGGCTAATGGAATTCTTAAACTGTAACTCAGAGCCGCTGTTGCTGTTACAAGCCTCTAAGGACTTGTTACCAAATTCCCTGAACTTCCCTCCCTGACAAATAGCCTTACAACCAGGTTATGCTTTGGGGTACAAACAACTTCTAATACCCAACCTTCCACTGCTTGTTACTGGCTGTTTGGATTTATCTGGATTTTTACTCCCTGTGTGTAAACTCTTCAGACAATATTTTTGGTCAATCTCCTGGCCACCTGCACCAGTTATCTAAGGTCATCTCACAGAAAAACAGTGAAGTATCCAAGCTGTAGGGCACAATTCTAGGCATGTTTAGACCAAACAAACCCTCCAGAACTCCCAGCATGCCCCAAACAGACTATTTTTTGTGCGAGCATGCATACGATTACACCCTCAGCCATTTTCTTTCTCCTAGCTTTTTATACCGACCACACACTGAACAATAGACCTTTTCCCTCTCTCTACTACAGATTCCCTATAACTGCCAACTCTCATTTGTACTGCCATTTTCCAACTACTCTTTTCTACCTCTCTGGAATCCCCATCCATCAGATTTGTAATTACCTGATCCAAGCACCATTTAACAATATTCAAAGCAATCATTTGCCTTTCTCTTCCCTTCCGAATCTCACTCAACCACTACTAGACAAGCCTTTGACAAAAGCAAAACAAGACTCCAGGCCTGCTTGGATGCATTGTTACCTCACCAAGGCCACACCAAGTATGTTTTACAGAACCACTGTTGTTGTTCGCAGGCATTTCTTCATATGCTTCCTGCAGACCAACACATCTGGAGGGTCTACATCAGAAAAGATACTTTTAGCATTCTGTAGTACTTCTGCCTAGTGTCACAAAATGCTGACTACCATCTTGGTAGGGCCCACTTTTTTTTAAGAAAAGGAAACAAAAAAAGTATTTTGTTTTGCTTGCTTGTATTCATGCACTACCTTGGACGCAAATGTCCAAAATAAAAATCCTAATCCTGTGTCTCGGGAGGGAATCCAAGTCCAAGTATCAAAGACATGAATTCAGGCCTATAAAAGCTGGTCTAACAACCCCTCCCATCCAGCAGCTCCACCAATTGCTTCTCTTCAAAACTTTAATATCTGCCACATCTTCAAGACATTCCCTTCAGGATCTGCTGCCAAACTTCTGAAACTGTAGGTTAGGTAAGGTGACACATGAGACATTTCCCAAGCATCAGCTAATTCATACAACTTGGTTGTATTTGGTTGCAAATGAGCGAGCACTACAAAGGAAGCAAGAACGCAAGAAGATTTTTCAGAGCATGGTTGTTTGGTGGCAAGCCAGAGGGAGCCACCCCCATATTTTGGGATAGACTGAGGGCAGGGTAATCAGATCAGCCTAGCAAGTTTGTTTTCTTAAGAGGAGAATCCCCATGGGTCAGTCAGCAGATAGCTATGCTGTGCTTAAGCAGTC